AAATCTTTCTGCACAACTGATTCCATTCAGTCTCAATGTGATCCAGACAGATATTAGAATTATAGCTTAGAAAGAGACATAAGAGCTTTGGTTTTGAACGGTTCTTATCATCCTATAACTTTACATGGGGTAGCGAAAGGGCAGTGACTTACCTGTATCAAGAAAATACAACGAGATACAACCCATGTGCTTTAGCACTCAAAAAAAAGAAAGGTTTGATGCCTGGGGGAAGATCTGGATTTCATTTAGGACAGTGATAGTACTTGTTTGGCATAGAGGTTCAAACACTGGCTAGAAAACTAGCTTTCTTCAGCAATGCTTGTGAAAATTACAGACTTTTAAGAGATTCTGAGTTAATAGATTAGGGTCACCGTTTCTTCTGGAATGGCTGCTTCAGAACAAAGGAAAACGAGTTGGTTGGCAATGGCCAACTGAGCCAATAGAAGGTTTCATCATGTAGGCCCTGGAAGAAAAGATCACTGTTGACCAAGAGGTGCCACAGACTTTTCCAGGACACAGCCAAAATTAGCTGCTAGTCTCTTAAATTATTTATCAGCCGTGGTTATAAATTAGAGATGAATGAGAGCCCTTAGAGTTTGATCTTGGATGTGTACCTTAAAAATTTCAAGGATCTTTCCACTGCAACGGGAAGGTTCTTGATAAAAGGTGGAGTAGTCCCTTGCACATAGGCATTGCCAGTCCTACAGCTGATTGTGCAGACCACTTACCTCAAATTCTCCTCTGCCAAAGATTTGGAAAAGCCTTTTGCTAGGACATCTAAGTGTAACGAGTCATCCACTTAATTCAACTTACCGCTTGTATTCTTCTGCCACAAAGATCCAATTCCTATTTCAGAGAAGCTCTTGGCCACCAGCAAAACTTCTTTGCTAATGGTTGTGCCAAGTGTCTAAAATTTTCACATAAATGTTCCATCCAGTTAAAAATCTACTTGCAGTTAGGACTCTTGGGACCAAGGATTCCCCCCAAGATGTCAGTGAAAGAAGCTAGCCAAGAGTCACAGCCCAACTTCTAGTACTTGCCTGAGTTCCAGGAGCTGGAAAGCTTAGGAACACCCAGTGTACTTTGGAATAAATACGAGTGGCCAGCTATCAACCTTTCTTTTTCCCATGTTCACACACAGGCATGCATATGAAATCTGGTAACGGAGACAGGAATTTTTGCTCATATTTTTTTAATGTATCACAATGAGCAGGAAACATACTTGATGAAATATTTTCAAAGGAGTATATTCAATTACCATCTACAATCAACTTAACTATGACAACAAAGTTTTTGTGACAAATTTTTTTTCAGTTTGAAAGTTCCATGTGGTTCTGTTAGTCTCCATGTATTTTGGTACAGTTCAGAGATCAGCATTGTTACAGTAACAAAAAAGCTAACAAGACTACATTATAGAAAAACACCAAGAACATCATTTTTGGTTTCACTTGCTCTATTTTTTTGTTTTTGTTTTTTGTTTTTGTTGTTTTTTTTTTGGATTTTTTTGTTTTTTGTGGGTTTTTTTCTTTTTGTACATTGCAAAGGCTGTTCATATACCTCTTCACCTCAGGGTCACGTTCATTTATGCTTTCTTTCCTACCCAAACTTGCTCCCCTCCCCCCCTGAAGAAAGTAAACAAACAAAACAAAAAACAATAGCCAAAGCTTTGTTTCACAGTGGGCAGTATCTCAGCGCCAACAAACAACTCAATTTATGCTTCTATTTAAAATGTTAATTTAATTTATTATTTAAAAAAAATATATGTCCATGAACATCAAGTGCACTGGCTTGGGTCACTGCCTCTTTCCTGCAACTTCCTGCCATGCCTGATAAACTCAGGTTTAAACACATGCCGTCTGTTTTACTTTATTTTCAATTGTGTAAAACTTTGGCCACATTCATTTCTTTAAATAGTTTTTAATTAAAAACAAAACAAAACACCTTCCATGATGTAGTAAACGTGTGTGTGTGTGTCTATGTGTTCCTTTTGAAGTTTCCTTTTTGGAAGGATGTAGAAAGGGTGAATGAAATGACTCCAATTCTGTGGGTCCATCTGGTGCCATGACTGAAGTCCCTAACACCAACCCATGCTGTGGAGTAAAGAAAAACAAAAACATCAAAAAAACCCGAGGTGCCAATGGAGGTTAAGAATGAATTTAAGACGTGAGTTGAGATAGTCTACTCACCTACCTACTATTTAGGAGTAACCTCCCCGAGTGTGATCATTCTAAACAGTTGAGCATTCATGCTTCAAAAATGATACAAACCATTGCCACTGTGGATGGCCAACCCACAAACACATGACTCACTCCTGCTTGACTTCTAATTTTCACCATCACCAACTGCTTTGTTACTTCTGGGTTAGTGCTGAGAATGACTTTTTCTGTTATTGGATGAACATACATGTGGGCGGTATAGTTGTAGAGGAAAGCATTAAGTGTGTAACCCGCTCCAGGATAAAACAATCACAGAACCCCTTTGAGGAATATGGGTGGGTGGCTTAGCCAATCTACCCAACCACCTTATTGTTGCCAATCACACCCACAGGTCAAGGCATGGCATAGCAAAACACTGACAGTCACTCTGCCTCACGGAGGGGGGATGGCATAGTAGCTCAAAACAAAACAAATGACCAAAAACCATTAGGGAAAGGGTGGCAAAATTACAAAGGAACTTGAAGTGGGGGGGGGGGAGGAGGAAGGGGTAGAAATTGCACTATTACCAAGCAATATCATTTTTAAAAATAGTTGTCAGAGAAGACCTAGCAGAATTTGACAGATAAAGCTAGTGTTAAATTGTTAATTGGTATCACATAGGGAACTAAAAACAAAAACAAGCTTTATCTATATGATACAGACACGGTAACATACAACAGTTAAATGGCAAAAAATATATATATATATATATTTCATAGAGTTACAAACAAGATAAAATAATGGAAAACAAAAAACTGTACAACTTCAAAATTTAAAAATGTTCATCTCAAACACAGGGAGAAATACAAGAATTCTTGTTAAAAGGAAATAGCTTGTTAAAACAGTTAATGTTTTGCGTACTTGTTTTGACACCTTATGCTACAACTGGATACTGATATGAATAGTTACGATGGTATTCTTTAGTATTTCTATTTTAAAAAAATTAAAAAGGAATTTGCACTGTGCATCAGCCTAGTTAGAAATATGTACAACAGTTCAGGATCTACTCTTTCATTAACTAAAAACAAATTCATAAAAACAGTCCCGGCTAAAAAAGAAAAAAAAAAAAAAGAAATCCATTTTCAGATCTTGGAATGCTCCAGTCTTTTTGCAAAGTCGATGAGTAGCTTCAGCACTGGGAAAGGTGGCCAATGGAACCGCTATTCACAGTCTTCAAAGTTCCCTTTTGAAATATAAGGAAGATGAAGGGGAGAGGGATTTCACACTTTGGGGGCAAGGGGAGATGGTGTCTGTGATGTTTGGCTATGAAAGTGAAACAGCAAAGCATCTATTTGTCTGCAGAAATCTACGTTTTAGCAGCACAAAGTTTTCCTTTCAAAGTTCAGACTTAAAAAAAAAAGATGAAAAAGGTCATGTGTTGCATTGTGTTGTGTTACAGGAATATGGGTATTAACATAAACACAAGTGCCTCACATAGGGTCTCCTTTTCTAGCATTCTGCACATCACTATCTGCTTTGTTGTTGGCTGCACTGTGGATCACTTGTCGCTCGGACTGCCTAACACAGGACAAAACTTTGAAGTAAAAAAAAATGTGTCTTTTGGTATATGGAATTGTCATTAACAGTGGCCTCTCTGCTTGCAGAAGAAGCACATAACCTGGGAATCTTTTGTCTTACTCTCTTTTATTAAACTAAGTCTTGTTTGTTTAAATCAGAAACAAATTCTCAAGTAACAAGAACCCTTTCCCTTTTTTCTGCATCAGCAGTGAAAGGGTGTGTCTTTGGATTTTATTTAAAGCATGAAATTTCTTTTTCTGAGAGAGGAAAGGAAAAACACAAACACATAAAAAACAAACCCCTAGCGAAAAAAAAAAAAACAAAAAACTTTGTAGAACGAAAGTACACAACCCAATTACACAAACTGAAACAAATGCTTTAGTTTAGGAAAAGAATATTTGAAGCACCTACCAAACAGGGAGGAAAAGAAGGAAGTGCAAAGAAAAGCCAAAGGAAGGATAAATTAAAAAATCAATGTACAAGGCTACCAGACAACTAGAATTAAATGCCTTTATAAAGTTTCAACTCCCCAACCAAAAATAATCGGCGAGGATCCTAATGACCTCTAGAATCCTTTGAAATTTCTTTAGTTTTATAAAATAATTCTGCAGCTTACCCTCTTCAGAAATGAAGGCAGCTACGTTACGTGGAAGATTCTGGGATGGGAGTTGGGAAAGAGGAAAGGAGAAGTAAGGAACAAAGGGGAGAAAAGCTTAGGCGAATCAATGGATTGCAATCTATCTGCTAGGAATGGACAAGACAACATCAAATGAGGAGCTGTCAGCTGGACCATACAAAAAGCTAAATGTACACAAAGGATTTTTTTTTCCTTTTAAATCTACCATACTGCTTCAGTTCATTTCCAATGCAACAATCTACTCAACACCAAAAATGGTCATATCTATCATAAATACAGAAAGTCAGTTTTTAAAACTTATTTAAGCTACAAGTCCTCAACACTTTGTGTGTGGGTGGCTTTTTTTTTTCTTTCTGAAAGTGGGAGTGCTTAACTTTTTCCCCCCCCTTGAAATTGGCTTTATCAGAAAAGCTATCCTTAAAAAAATCCCCAGAAAGCTAAAGCAGTTCACATTGGTTTTTTTCTCAAATACTTTCTGCCCATTTTTAAATTAACAACAAAAAAACAAAACAAAACAAAAAAATCTTTTCTGGAACAAAAAAAAAAAAAGAGAAAACCGAAAAAAAAATAAACAATGATTCTGAAAACAGAACGAAGTGTGACTGATTGACCTGAGAATAAAAAGACATTACATTTCTTTTTTTTTTTCCTTTTTTTTTTTTTCTTTTAGCAAGCCATTGGTATCTGAATGCTAAGATAGCAAGAGATTTGCAACGGGTGGCAGGGTGGAGTGCTTTCCCATACCGTGCGTGCCGGGCTCCTCTGTGCTCTCAAGGTGCGCGTTTATTGAAGAGGGGGGGCGGAGGGGGACACATATACAAGGGTTTAAGCTCCAAAGACAGTGGGGAGGCCCTGCGGACTTCTTCCCGAGACCAATAGTACCTTCGAAAGGACACAATGGAACAGGGTTGGGTGTGTCGGTGGTGGGGTGTGTCTTTTTATGTCGTTTTTTTTTTTAATAGTAAAAGAAAAGAGAGAAAAGACAAGAATGCGAAATCACCGGCATAGATAGGTATATGGGAAAACAGCCCACGCTTTTTCCTTTTCTTTTTTTTTTTTGTTTTTTTAGTGTGTGGTTTTTTTTTTTTTGTTTTTTTGGTTAGAAGCTTTGGAATTGCAGTTAAGTCTATTTTTGAAATTGGTTTGTTATTAATTCTTTTTTTTATTTAAATTCATCTGTATTGTTCATCTTCAAAGCTTACAATCTGAAGGTGTCCGTTCCTACACTGGTCAGACCACTGTCCTTGGGGCAGCTGGGGTCTTTGGGACCCTCCGCCGGGCTCGCCGGTCCGTCGGACTTTTGGCTGAGATCCGTGTCAGACTCCTCCGAATAGTCGTCTGTTGGCATCGAGGGCTGAACCCCTGAGGTGCTGCATGAACTTGAGGTAACCGTTGAAGATGAGGAGAGAGGAGGAAAAGAAGGGGGCTTCGTGGCTGAAGCCCGGGGGGCCACGGGCGGCCAAGACTTCCTGGGGGGGGCGTGGGCGGGGGGCGCGCAGGGGGACGAGGGGGGGGCGGCGGCCGTCGGGGGAGGGGGGCTGTCGTTTGAGTGAGCGGCAGACTGCGAGGTAGATGCGGTGCTAGGATCGGGGAAGCAGGCGGAGTGAGGTAATAAACTAGGGTGCTCTTTGGCGTTTCTCGCTGCTCTCGTGATTGTTCTGTGTTTGTGCAAGGCCGACTCGAGATGCTGCCGCAGCGCCTCCTCCCCGCAGAGCGCGCTCTCGCACGCCAGGCAGTGGT